AGGCTGGCACAATTAACTAACTCATGGAGGTATATAGCAGATGAGAAAAGCTGGACATTTGGGACATCCTTAGCCGCTGTCTCATAAGAACTCGCTTTGTGCTAGTCCTTACTAAAGACATTGCCTACTGATGCACATGCAGGCACACACACACATAAACACAAGTACAGGCACACACACACACACTGCCCCCTCATGTTTGCTGTTTTCTTTTATTAGACCACCTGTGAAGGGAGCAACGGCTATGGGCTTTCAAATGTCAAAACAGGTTATAGGCTGTTCAACGTATGAAGTGTACTTTGCATTAAAATTTCCATACCATGCAGTTATTAAAAAGACAATTTCAGTGATAGAAACAAGTCAGTACTACTTCTATTTTCTTCAAACACAACGCACACACATATTCTGGGAAACGTATTATTCATTATCGTCCTGCTCTAAACATTGTGGAATGTGTTTGAAGAGGATGCAGAGTCTCTGGCTCTCTTTGCAATAAAAGAAACCGAGGTTGTGTGAGAAAGAGGTCAACAAAGCCGAGTACAGCCCACTCTTGCGGGTGGGAAGAATGCTCCCGAGGTAAATTTGGTAGTCATGTGGTCATCTAGCAAATCACAGAAATCTGTGGAAAGCAATGGGAGATCGGACACCTTCCTAAAAGGGGAAAAGGACTGAGCCATGAATACACAGAGGTACGCTTCACCTGTCTGGGAAGGTCGGACAAAGGGGGAAAGGAAATTTGAACCCAGCACATCTCAGCGCTGGGCACTCTCTCCAAGAGCTAAGCAGACAGGAAAATGAAGGAGCTGCACATTTCTACCCTGCTTTTCTCCTCCTTCACTGAATCACTTCCCCATCAAACCAAAAACCAATTGCCACCGAGATGATAATGACTCGTAAGTACTCTGTAAGACAGAATCGAGCTGCCCCATAGGGGTTTCCACAGCTGTAATATTTATGGAAAGAGACGCCTACATCTTTTTCACACAGAATGGCTGGTGGGTTCAAACTGCCAACCTTTTGGTTAGTAGCTAAGTACTTTAGCTGCTATGATACTGGGGCACCTTTACTCTGATTAAGAAACAGAAATACTTATTCTGGCGACCTCGTGCGGCACAAAACAAAACGGTCCCTGGACTGGGTTTCCTGCAGGTGTCACATACAGGCAGTTACATGCCACCTCAATTTCTTCCTCTACGAGTGGGGATAAGCTAAGCAGGTCTTCATAGGTGAGGCAAAGAGTTATCACAAAAACCAAGAGCATCAATGGGATGATTCCTAGCGTGACAGCCAAGAGTGGGTGCTGTCCCATAGTGGGCAGTCCCCTCGGAACACTGAAGAGCTCTTTCATGGCAAAGGAAGGCGCACTTCAGTGTGACATTGAGTGATGAGAAGGCATAACTACTGTTTCCACTAGTCAGGGTGAAAATGTGGTAAGGGGGTGTGTACGCTCCACTATTATGTGAGGTAGCAAAACAACAGGAAGTAATAATTCTCCGAACCACCCAATCTCTTCAGCGACTCACCGAAGCCTCGCTGGCGTAAACCTGCTGGAGATACGAGGTCATCCGAACCACCCTCCATCCCTCCCCTGCCAACACCTTCTGAGGAAGAGGTTAGTGGTAGAACAAATACTTTCCACTAACTGTTAAAATCTAGTTTCCCGAGCAAGTGTTTAACATTTTGCTGATCAGATTCACAGAACTGTTCGTGTTTTAAGTGGGGGACAAACTGGCGAACCGCTCTCCTTTTCTCACCTAATGTCACAAGCACTGATGGCTCACTGGGAGACAGCTCAGACCCATCTTAGACAGACTCATCACCGAATCAAGTAAGAGACGTAAACATGAGTTCCCATAAGAGAGTAAAACAGGCACTACCTGCCTAAGGGAATCATGAAAGGGCCACTGAAATAGAGACTAAGATGACATTGGACAATTGCCAACTGGAGAAAAGGTCATTCTAGACAAAGGCATTTGGCAAGGGCCTGGAGGCAATAGGAAGTATGACACTTTCCCGAAAACAAGAAGCATTTGTGTGTCTAGAGCAGGGGTCCTCAAACTTTTTAAACAGGGGGCCAGTTCACTGTACCTCAGACCCATTGGAGGGCCGGACTATAGTTTTAAAAAAAACTATGAACACATTCCTATGCACACTGCACGTATCATTTTGAAGTAAAAAACCAAACGGGGCAAAAACACCCGGTGACCGGATAAATGTCCTCGGCGGGCCACATGTGGCCTGCGGGCCGTAGTTTGAGGACCCCTGGTCTAGAGGTAGATGCTTGTGGGGCAGTGAGGCTACAGAAAGGTGGCAGTCATGAAAACCGTGTAAAAATGCTCAATGTGAAAAAAGCAAAACACACACACAAAGCACCACATTGCAAGTAGGTGAGTTTGAGAGAAAATGTGCATTCATAATTAAAGACATGGTAATGTGATGAGAAGAGAGTCAAGGCAGTGAGACGAGAGAGGAAACGGCTGTAGGAACCTCGGTAAGAGAGAACGGCTCTAAAACCAGGCTAGGAGAGGACATGGGGGACACAGGAGAGGGGTGATCAGCAGCTGGGCTGGCTGGCTGAGTTAAGTGGGGTAAGGGTAAAGGGTAAAGGAAAGGAAGTTTCTGGTTTGGGGAACTTAGGGCGCATACTGGTGCCGCTTATTTATATTGACAGATGGAGTTGAGGTACCCACTAAGTCTCCAGACCATGGTATTTTCAATAACCCCATAAGCATGGGAAAGCTGGACACTGAATAAGGAAGACCGAAAAAGAATCGATGTCTTAGAATTATGCTGCTGGCAAGAATACTGAAGGTACCGCGGACTACCAAAAGAACAAACAAAACTATCTCAGAAGCAGTACAGACAAATGCTCCTTAAAGACAAGGAGGGGAAGATTGCATCTCACTTTGGCTACGTTGTCAGAATTGCCAAATCCTTAGAGAAGGGCATCATGCTGGGTAAAGTAGAGAGACAGCAAAGGAAAAATGAGGAAGCCCTGGACAGTGTGGAGTGACACAGCGGCTGCAACAATGGGCTCAAACATAAGCACAATTGCAGGGGGATGGGGGAAGAAAGCAAAGACAAGGTTTAACAGAACACTGTTGATTTCATTTCTTGAGTAGCCTAAGTAACTATATACAACGTGTTTATTTAACCAAAAAAA